TCCACCTGGCTCTGCCTCCCGAGTGCTGGGATTAAAGGTGTGCGCCACCACCGCCCGGCCACGTTCTTATCTTTATATAATCCTCAGCCTCAAGAGAGAGACTTCCTGTTTACTTACACCTTATATACCTTTCTGTGCCCTGCCATCTTACTTCCTTCCTAAGTGCTGGGATTAAAGGCATGTGCCACCATGCCTGGCTCTGTTCCCAGTATGGCCTTGAACTCACAGAGATCTGGATGGATCTATGCCTCCCAAATGCTAGGATTAAAGGCATGTGCTACCACTGCCTGACCTCTATGTTTAATATAGTGGCTGTCTTTGTCCTCTGATCCCCAGTCCAGCTTTATTGGGGTACACAATTATATCACCACCCATCCTAAAAAGGAATAAGGTAAGAGCTCTGCCTGAGATAACAATGTCTAAAATACATGGGGAAATAGTTGTAATTTTTGTCTGTCATCCATACACACACATCATTCAAAATACATGTCCATAAGTAAGTAACATTTATAAAGAAAGGCAAGGAAAACAGCAAAGGAAATTCAAATCAGAATTGTTTAAAAACAAAAATTTAGGGCTGGAGGGATAGCTCAGCCATTAAAGGCAAGCCTCACAACCAAAAATATAAAAACAAAAATTTTTTAAGTTTTCCAGATGAGATCAAGTTTTGATTTTGGTACACACAAATGCAACACGTTACCTCAGGTGTCATTGTGACAGCAGCTTCTAATGCTTCTGTCATCAAAAGAATTTGGTGATGTCACCAGGACAAGAAGACTTGGCAACAGAAGGGCACACAGTACCTGACTTGGGGTTTTGTTTTTTCATTCCTCTTTACATTATCAAAACTAAAGGTAAAGTGACTCTTAGGAAAGGCATTATAAAATTTTAGATTATCATGGTAAAAAAATAGCTGGCTATCATTCCCAAATGCTGGCCTAAAAACTATAGTGTACAGAACTATGCACTATAGAACTATACAGTGTAGGCAATATATCGATGTATTCCTGACTTGAGGATAAAGTCATTACTGGCACACAGATAGGAGATCATCTGGCTAAATGAGCCACCAGCTTACTTCACTCAAACTTTGCCCCAACTTACCTTGAATTTAAATAGTGAATATTTCACTTTGTTTTAGGGACATGGAGTTGTTTCCACCCGCAGCGCACTGTGGTATTCTCTGCAAAGGAACTTTCCAATAGAGATGTAAGTCACATGTGTCACCTTACAAATTTGAAGGGATACACTATAAAGTGGTTAAAAGAAACAGATGAAACTTCAGTCAAATATTTTCTTTTACCCATGTTTCTAAAATTTCATTTCAACTTTGATTAATACTAAAAAAATAAAATATCCTAAATCCCTGCCTCCCTCCAGGGTTTCTCTTTGTAGCCCTGGCTGTCATGGAGCTCACTCTATAGACCAGGCTGGCCTCGAACTCACAGAGATCTGCCTGCCTCCACCTCCCAAGTGCTGGGACTAAAGATGTTGTGCCACTATGCCCTGCACATTTTTCTTTTTTGTATTCTGTTTTCCGACTCCACTTTTTAGATCATGTGGTTCACAGACTCACTGCTCAGGTGGCTGGTGGATGCTGCACAAGGTACACACCTGAAACTTTTGGTAATTTAATAAATGTTCAAAAAAATTAACCCTCCGCGTTTCTCCAGTACCCAATGGCAAGACCTACTTTTGAATGATACCTGCTAAAATCCAGTCTGTGTGCAGATATCTAACACTGCTGGTGTACACTCAATGAATTAGTGGGAGCTGAATCCCTTATTTAGATGTTCACTGTTTGTAAGGATATACCTATGAGTCTCATATACCTGTCAGACAGTGTATGTATTTTGAGGTGATTAGTCCGGAGGTCTTTGAGCCTATTTTTGACTTTGTTAATATTCTGATCCCACCCCTTGGAGCCACCCTGTGTCCTCAGGTAAAACTTTCTTTTTAAGGAAAACTCAGCCTATTTCTCTCTCTCCTGCTTCCCTGCCACGAGGTATGCACCCTTGAGCCCTCTCTCTCTCTTCTTCTTTCTCCCTCTCCTTTCTGTCTTTTCCCATCTGTCTCTTTACCCCTCATTATAACAAACCATTTCCACGTGAATGCAGCTTCTGGGTTGTGAATGTCCACCAGCCTCTCCACTGCCATGCCTGCATGGAGTGGGTCACCACCAGCTTGCTGCCGCATCTGCCCAGCATGTCAGCATGGTTCTCTGTGAGCCCAGGATACCCTTGGGGCCCCTGTGTAGTAATAAAACATAACAGGCTTTACTATCATTGTGATATACTTTGTTCGATATAGAACAATCTGGAATCAGACATTGAAGGTGGTGGCCAAGTTTCTACAAATTCATTTGTTGTCAGAAGACACTAAAGAAAAGTTTTTGTTTGTTTGTTTGTTTGCTTTTAATCTTTAACTGAAATCTTTTTCTTCTCTTTTTTTTTTTGTTCTTTATTTTTAGGAGAGAATGAATTATAAAAGAGAAATGCTGTTGCTAATCTTGCTTGCTTTATTGCTGGCATTATATAAGCACCACCCCAGGTAAATATGAAACCCTGATGCCCCCCAGCTATTGATAGAGCTGACCTAAAGTGCTGTGCTTTTACCCAAAGACATTCGAGCACACTTTAATTTAACTTAAGAGAAATCAGTTTTTCTTTGGTGAACATATACATTAATTCTTTCATTTTTTTCAACTTTCAAGAGCAATGATTAATACCAGGCTGTGGTGGCACACGCCTTTAATCCCAGCACTTGGAAGGCAGAAGCAGGTGGATCTCTGTGGGAGCCCATTTGGGTTCCTCGTGGCTTTACCCAGAGGGTCTGCATAGAGAGGATGATTGGACCACGGGCCTGAATGCAGGTGTCTGAGATGGTCTGCACTTGGCTGTGCTGGGGGAGATATTTTGCTCCACCCCTTTGCATTCCTTTAAATACCCTAGGGCAGAGACAGTTGGGGCCTGATGAATTATGATCCAGACCCTCTCGAGGCTATCCTGTATTTTCTATCTGTTTCTCTCCCCCTCTGTCCTTCTATCTAATATTTCCTGCTGCTTCTACTCACGAGTACTCTGGGGGAAATGTGGGGGTGGTGGGTAGCCTCCCCCACAGATGGCACCATGAACAGGGACTAGGAAAAAGGAAAAAGTAATAAATATTTTTATAATATCCAGAGTGCTTGGTGGAAGTGGGGGGTGGCTCTGCCACTTACAGAAGGGGGACAGTTTGGTTGTGTAGTGGAAAAGGTACATAGGGCAGGGGGTTTATCCTTGAGAGAAAAGGAAAAAATGGACTGGAAGGATGTTTGAGGCTGCAGTGTAGAATCTTCTTTATCAAGATTTCTCTCTTTCTGTCTCTCTTTGTTTCTACCTATGAAAAATAAGGAAGGTAGAGTGTAGCAATATAGTACAGGAAGAACTGAGAGCCGAGACAGATTCTTCCCTGGTGGGAGGGGCTGCTGGAGGAAGCAGTAAAGCCAGGAGAGAATGGAGAACTACCCAGGAGTAAAGCTCTTTTCTATCCAAGAAAGCACCTTCCTGGGAAAGCTTTACTTCAAGCACTTTTGGTTTCTGACTCCCGGTGAGGAGAGGGTGTGAAGTCCTGAAGGATTACTGCCTCTGGGAATAAGCTGCTGTTTGAGTGTGTGGACAGATGAACACAACTTGCTCAGGCAGAGGGTCAGGTGAACGGCCTGATGAGGCAAAACACCTGCCATCATGCGAGATTAGGGATAGAAAAACCTCCCTTGATAAAAAAGCAGAAGTCTGAGCACAAACCACAGACCCTGAAAACAGAAATGGACAAAAGCCCCTACCTTCAGAAGCAGAGAAAGCTGCCACTGTGGCATTGGGAACTGTTTCTGGGGCGGAGGAGATAAACTGAGACCAAACTGGGAGCTGTCTGGGAGAAAGTCTCTCTGAAGGAGCTGTAGGAGATCTTTGCTAAGTGTTTTTGTTTCTTTTCACTGGTGGCTGGGGCAAGTGGACAAGCCCCAAGGGAATGCTGGAATCAGAAATGCCCATCTCAATGCATGCTAATGGGGTAGGTGCGATTCTTATCCAGGGCCAGTATCAGATGTAAGAAAAATACTTATTAAGGTCAGCTCAGGAAGAGCAGAAATCTTTGGACTCAAGAAACTTCCCATAGTAAAGAAAAAATAAAGTTCATTTGAAAGCAAGCCTGGTAAAAGGGAACCAGAAGTTGACTCCTAGACCTGAAAAGAACTATGGGAAATGAAGTCCGAAAAGTAGCACATAACAGTGGACTGATATAAGAAAAATGCATTCTGGGAAAGGTAGTTTTTCCGCTAAAGATAGTGGCATTGTCTGGAAAAACTTTTTTCAGCTTGGAAAAACAAAAACAAAAACAAACAAACAAAAAACCCCGCTCATAGTAAACTTAAAATACAGCTTTTAAAAGATTAAGAAGGAGGAAAATTGTCTGAGCATTTGTTGAATTCCAGTTCCAATGAAAAATTTAAAGGATATGAAGCTCAGAGCTTTGTGGCTTTAGGTTCCTTTGAGAATATACCTTATGCTACCTAATAGCTGCTCAGAGTGTTTTTTTACAGTAGCTGGATGACAAAAAAGCTACCTATAAGAGCAATCAAATCACTTAGGAATACAATAAGCTTTCAAGACAAACAGTCTAGCAGGTGAGCTTGCTGAATGATGCAGGTCTGGAACCCCACTCCCACTCAGACAACTGTCTTCTGCTGGGAAACTGTCTGCTGAGCTGCCAGCTAGGCAGTTCAGAAACAGAATGTTCCTTAGGAGGTTTTCATCTCTTTTCTTTCTTTTTGGGTTTGCTGTAAACTGAGATAGCTCTTAATAGAGTTTTTATAAAAGATCTGGAATGAATAAAGTACTGTTTAGCAATAGAACTCACTAAATCCCAGGGTTGAGAGAGCTATTAAAGAATTAGACTCTTATTTCAAACTCTCAAGAACTTTCAGAATGATATCAAAGCTGACTATAAACTCTGAACTTTAGAAATGATTTGTATACTCCCTGTCTTATTAAGAGATTCTTCCTAGTGTAAGTTAGTTCTGTTAAAAGTAAGAAGTATCTTTGCTAAGGTAGTCCTTTAGAGTTTCTTTAAGAATATTAGAAGTAAGGTAGTCCTATAGAATTTCTTTATATTTTCTAAGGTAGTCCTGTAGAGTTTCTTTAAGAATATTAGCTTATAAGAAGTATAAGTAAGTGTAGGTTGAATGTGAGTTTCTAAAAAAGTATAAATGTCTGTATGTAAGTCTAAATACTTAATGTAAATATATGTAGTAAATGACCATGCTAGTTGTCATAAGAAGTGTAAATAAAGTAAGTCAGAGAAATGTAGGTTTAGACTATATAGGCTTAGGTCTAAGGATATATGGTGAGGGTTTAATAAAAAAGTAATTTAGAGTAGAGTAGGAACCTGGGATGCAGAAAACAGCATTCATAGCAGACTGCAAACAAGACTGTTCCAAAAGCCACCAATAACAACAAGAAGCAGCTCCAGAGACTTCCTGCTTCAGAAAGTAGCAGCCAGAGTGTCTACGGCTGAGACCCATGGAGCATCATAGCTTCTCAAGAGGCAGTGCAAGCACCAGCAGCCAGAGGGTCTCAGGAGCTGAGACCCTCAAGGCATCAATGTAATGCAGGCGGCAGATGCACAAGAGTGTACACGCTTTCTACTGAAAGGAAGCCATGGTCAGACGTGGACACGCTATTCTTCAAGAAAGGCAGATGGAGGACAGCAGCTTAGAGAGCCCAGCGGCTTGCATCACCACGGGAAAGATGAACGGTGAGCAGCAATGAACAGCTGAGAATTCAAAGAATAGACTGCTTCTGGAGGCCAAGAGCAGAGTGGTGTTAGTGCCAGACAAGCAGCTGAGACATGTGGGAGCCCAAAAAGCTTTGGAGGTAAGAGTGTGCTCTGGACTGAACAGCCAGACTGGGGATCTTGGCTGGGAACCAGTTTGCTGAGTACTTGGACCATCAACGACACAGGTATTGGGGACCCTCTCAAAGCCAGGGTCGCTGTGGGAGGGCCACAGTTCAACTTTTGGCAGCTGAAGGAGCCTTGAGCCCATGTGGCTGTGAGGTGAGGCTCTCTAGCCTGGTCTGGGAGCGGCCTGGTTATGGAAGGCTACAGACTGCAGAGCGCAGCAGTAGCTGAGCACAAAAGTTGCAGAAACACTTGTTTGAACTAAAATTCTTAACTGCAAAAGTTTAGGCTATGAAACTTCTCGTATTTGGAGCTGTTTGCTTCAGAGTCATTACGACTCTGACAGCTGTACACAGACTTAAGGGCAGCTGACAAGCCAGGCCCTGACTTCGAGCACTCAGAGGAACTTTTAGGCCTGGTACCAGAACTCCTTTTGAACTTTTGAATTTAAGAAATGAAATGGACAGTAATGATTTCATTACAGTGGTACAGTTCGAATTTACTTATGTATATAGACTCTATCAGTGGTGATAACTTATGAACTGCTTAAAAATGGAACTGTGTAAATAGAGAAGTTGAGTTTTTTCTAAAAAAATTATAAAGAAAAGAAGGAGTGTTAATATTCCCCAGTCTATTTAATTTAAAAATATTTTTGTATGCCGGGCGGTGGTGGCGCACGCCTTTAATCCCAGCACTCGGGAGGCAGAGCCAGGCGGATCTCTGTGAGTTCGAGGCCAGCCTGGTCTACC